TGCTAGACTAATTTAGTAAAATTATGAATCATTATTTATTATTTATTTATTTATTTTAACAATATTTTGTGAGGGCTGAGCTGATCAATTGAGACCCTGGCAAAATGAAAAAACAAAACAAAACAAAACAAAACAAAAACAAAACAAAACAAAACAAAACAAAACAAAAACAAAACAAAAATAAATAAAATTGACATCTGAACAGAAAAATAATTTAAATAATATATTAATGAAAAGATTTAAAAAGAATATAATTAACTAACATAAAAATAATAATATCTTTAAATAAACAGATTTAATACATTAGGCACACATTGAGGCCCTTCTTTTAGGTTAAAACGATCTATCTTAAATTTGTCTTTCTTGAGTTCGGGACTATTATGTGTTTAAATAACTTAAAAGGATAAACCTAAAAAAGCCCTTAAAAAAATGCGCGCGAAGCGCGCAAACTATTTTTGTGTTTTTAATTCAAATTTCGTCGGAATTGATGAAAACTCCCTAAAATGTGCAATTTATAGAGGAAATTGGCCTACCGTAAAAAGAAATGCGCGCAAAGAATTTGAGAATTTTAGGCACTTTCAGAGGATGCATTTGTCAAGGGGTGGGGAAAGATTTTCCAGAGATGGATATTTTCCCCTTGTCTCCCGGTGTTTTTAATTCTAATTTCGTTGGAATTGATAAAAACTCCCTAAAATGTGCAATTTTTTAGAGGAAACTGGCCCAAGAAAACAAGAAATGCGCGCGAAGCGCCCGAAATTTGGGGTTTTTAGGCACTTTCAGGGGATGAAAGGGCATTTATAAAGGGGTGGGGAGGATTTTCCAAAGATCTTTATTTTTCTCTTCTCTTCTCTTTTTCTTTTCCTTTCCTTTTCTTTTCCTCTTCTTTCTCTTTCCCTCTCTCTCCCCCTTTCTTTTCTCTTATTACCCAGCCCGATACGACGGCTTGGTCAGCCCGGTGACCCTCCATCCCCCGCCTGTTACGACACTGGCTAACACGCAATCATCCCCCTCCCCCAATGAAAAATACTTTTCTACGCCACTGCGTACGCCACTGTACATCTATTTCGATTATTATTTGGTTTTAATTAAATTTGAATGCAGCAGAGTTTTGTTATAATTTATTGTCCGAGGTAGCTTGTAAACCTATTCGTTAGACTGATTTAGCTAGGTAGAAAAATATGGGCCACTTTGAGAGTGCATATGAATGATTATGTATTTTATTTATTATTATAATTATTTTTAGTGCTATTGTTGCTACAACATAAAAGCAACCATTGCCCTCTGCTTACTGGCTTAAGGATGCATTGCCAGCCATGAGCTAAAATTGGGGGAAAAATGTATTCCATAATTGAATTGCTTACTTTTTTCTTGACCCTTAAATTTGCTGGTAATCAATAAGGGATTTTTAAAGAACGTCTTTAAAGAAGCGAAAGTTCATGTTTTAGATCTGTTTCTGGTTAGAACTTTATTTGCTGCTTTTGAATGAGCTATTCAAATATAGTCTAATTGAACTTTTGAGGTACTAGGCCTATTCTTTCGATATTTTTTTTTTTTCGGCAGACAGTAAGCCTAGGCCTACCTCTTTAATTGATACCAGTGGCGTATCTAAGGGGGTTCGCGTGTGGAGGGGGGGGGGGGGGGGGGGAAGGCGCACGCCACTCCAAAAAGTATTCGCGCCACCTGTCACCCCCGCCCCCCAAGCTCAAGTCGTTAAAAATCACCTAAAATTACCTTATTTTGCGAGTTAGTGCCCCTCCTCGAGCCTCTACGTCACATTTCCGCTCTCCCATCAGCTACCCTATTTCAAGACGTCACTGATTGATAAATGTGTATACAGTTAGTATTATCGATTAGGCCCTACTTGTTATTCTTAATAACCAGGTTGTTTTGTAATGTGTCATGCACTGTGCTTTATAATGTAGGGCCTACAGCGTGCTTTGTAACAAGAACAATATCGTAATCGATGCGATTGTTGGGATGGGAAGAACAGCCACATAAAAACAAAATGACTGAGAACTAGCAACCAGCATAGGTTCGGGCAAGTTACAGTAACATTAATCATGACAAAAGGTCTATCAAATTATGTTTTTAGGCACTTATCTAAAGTGATTTACATTTTGTTAGATAAATTGTTTGAATTGCGTAGGCCTATACGTACTCATTTATTGTATCAAGAATAACTTAATTATATTGCATATATTTGAAAATTGTAGGTCTAAAGCAGAACACTCAGAAACCGTCAAGCGATTTCCCAAGTGGATTTGAAAGACGACTCGCCTTACAAAATGTAAGCGACAGGTTATTTCGCCGTGCCAGTACTCTTAATACATTGGAAGAACTGCGTCTGGACCGGCAAGTACAACAACTTCGCTACAATATACATGTACGTGAAGCACAGTATATTAGTGTGCAGGAGAGATTGAAACGAAACCTAAAAGAACAAGACTTATATAAGAAGGCACTTGTTCGCACCGTAGCTTCACAAGACGTTCCACCTCAGTATGGTCGCTATAACGGAAGGTGCTTTGAAAGTCTAGCGCAAGAACGAGACATGATCTTAAAAGAAATCGAACGGAAGAGGAAGCGAAAGACTGAGAAACTTCTTGCAAAAAGTCGTTTGGAAAGTGAGTCGTTGATCGATAGAAGTTTTTCGACAGAATATCTGTTAAGGAACTCAAATAAACCTTTGTCGCAGCGCTTTAATCAGGCTCCGTTCTCCAAGAAACTTGAGAATGTTCAGACCAGAACGAAAGCGTTGTCTATGTTCAATAAACTACACAACATAGTTAAAGAGAGGAATGAAATAAGGAGACTTCCATCTACAGTCAAGAAGAAATCAAAAGGAATGTTTCAAACATCAACTGACTTTTAACAACATTTTGAAAAATGCTAAGAAACGTTAGAGGAATTTTGAAGCTACCAAAACGTTTTCTCTAATTGTTTACATTTACTCCGTTTGGTTGAAAGTCTGGAAACAATTAAATGGACCATTACAAGGCATTATTGCAATACAGATATTATGTATAACTATTATTTTCCAGGAATTGAAATTTGACAATCGGAAACAAGGAACATTAGTGTACGTAATTCCAATAAAAATGTTTGACAAAACTTTTAACCTGCTAAATAGGTTTATTTAAAAAAATAGTTTATTTAAAAAATAGTTCACATCACTGAAAACCTGCGGTTACCCTTTTACTTTTTGAAACTATTTACTTTATTAATGAACACAATAAATTAAGCTTTGTTTCCATAAAATTGCTACACGCTTTTGATAACAGCTTTCGGTGATGCTGATTGGTCGGTCGAATCTCGGGAAGCCTTCCCCATTATACGTCGGGGGCTGCACGCAGTACAAAGATTGCACTGAAAACACTGTAGCGACAGTGTAGCGATTTTAAGGAAACCAGGCTTTACTGAATTTGAAATAACTAATTGACAAGAAAACTATTTATAACCGTCACCCTTGTATAAACGTTTAAAAAAACATGAATAAAACGCATGCAAGTGGAAACATATGCTGATATTAAAACCTTTAATTATTCCCAGTATGTATTGATAATTCTGTAAACATAATTATTTAGAGAAAATCATTAAAACTATATCTCTTAACAGTATAAAATATACAATCCATCATGTACGGTTATTTCAATCTAAAATATTCGTTATTTTCGAATAATCTATCCACACGTTCTATAAAAATATTCTTTTAATTCTGTTGTCACATCGTTGTAAGTGTCATAGGTTATTTTTAGAGGAAGCTGCATCTTTATTTTGGTTTACACAGCAATAAATGAACTTAACACTATAAGACAAATAGTAACGAAAGATGCTGCGATGACACCAGATCCATTGTCATTGGCTAATAATTCGTCCGATATTTCTGTAAAACATAAAACCAGATTATTTATTAAATGCACACACTTCTAATTAAACAGAAATGCAAAAAATCATATTAATGTAAAAGCATTCCTTACCATTAGATGGTGCTCTACACATTCGACCACAAGGACCATAGCAACATTTATCTACGGACCCACAGTCACCATCATTCACACAAATGTCAACATAATCAATACAGAATTTCCTTTCACTAATATGCACGGCTGGGCATTTTCCAGGATTTGCTGCGAAAACATAAGAAAACATGAATATCATCAAAACAATCTCAGATTTAATAATTTCTAGGCACTGCTTACTGTCGGTAGTGACTTGTAAAAAAATAAAACTTTCAATAAGCCCTTTCGTAAAACAAAAACAAACATTATACGGATTACACAGCGTCTGCAATTTTTATTTCTTATTTAATATTTATTTTTTACTTACTCGGTACATTTGGTAAATACTGCAATCAATCTTCAATAAATATTGATAAATAAAATTATACAATTCAGATCAAATCAACAGGGCAGAACATCAAGTTATTTGTTTCTATGTGACTTTACGTCAGATATGCGTAGTTTAGATGACATATTACATTCGAATAGGCCTATATAGGCCCTAACATTTTATTTTGAATACCTAAATCTTAAAGCATGAAATAAGGATGCTCCTATTAACTTACAATGAAGACACAGATGGAAACAATTCAGATTTATTTTCCTGATTTACAAACTTTTTTCTAAGAACTTCCTTATAAATTAAGTGATTACCGTAAATGCTAGAATAAGCGCAGTTCTTGAATAAGTGCCGAGAATATATCTACCCTGCTTGTAATGAAATACTTTGAGAAACAGGTTTATAAATACAATATGTATAGTGTTAAAATGAATAAATAACACAATGAAGATACAAGTATTTCTTTATGAACGTTTATTTACGATGACGTTATGATAGGCCTTCTGAACTACGGTTTGAGATAGGTAACAGGGAACGGGCATGGAAAGCGCCACGCCAATATGTTTTTTATAAGCGCCGCTCTCGAATAAGCGCCGCACTATTTGAGCACTTACGGTTACCTACCATTATATTTAAGAGTCGTTCCGAATAATTATATTCCTTTTAAATGGCTATAATATACTGTATTACATTGTTCTAATTTTCAATTTAGTAACTTACGAAAATGTAAAAAGTAAATAGTTTTATTTTAAGGATTAATTATATAGGCCATAATTCAAAAGCCAATTGTCTGAAAACGACTAGAGCATATCGTTACGTAAGACCATGGCAACAATCAGCAGACCATATCTGACGAAGCCTTACTGACAGTTCGGCGAAACTGTCATTCAAAAAACTGTGAGTACTGTTGGTTTAATTTTAAGACATTTGTCTATGGAACTTACATATTGTAAGCGAGATGTAACTATGTAACTAGCTATATTTTAAATATCTTTATTACGAACTTACTTGGCAAATCAATCGGATATTGGCATGAATGTCCACAACCATTACTGCAGCATTTTTTGAATAGCCCACAATCACTATCTGTGGAACACTCATCACTGCATGTGCCTAATATGGCGTCGGATATAAGAACAATCGGACACGAACCGGCATTCAGCTCTACAAAAACAAAACAAAAATCTTGTCTCTGCTCACGAGTTTTCATGTATCAAAATATAGTTAGGTACACAAGCAAGAGAAACATGTGTTTGAAACATTAACATGGAAATTCATGATTCTTACCTAAGCACTCGCACATTGTACAGCCATTTTCATCTTTCTTGAAGCCAAGTGGACAGAACATCCTACACATCAATTGCGAACACTTAGTTGGGGGTGAAGCTGTTAAAATGTATAAAAACTATAAAAGGCAAGGTAGTTTTGATTTTATTTAGACACACGGTTTAAGTATTTCCAGTATAAAATAAATATCACCGCAGTCCTATGTAGCCTATATTTGGCAAAAAATGTTCAGTAAAACAACACATCACATACATATTTTCGAATTATTCAAACAGATAGTTGTTTTACCAGTTTCCTCCTCTTTCACTGCCATACATGTGTGTCCGCAGCCGTTTGAGCAACATTTTTCATTCGTCGAACAGTCTCCGTCGTTCGTACAGGATTCAGTACATATTCCAACCAGGTCGGGTGACGTGGTGGGACATTCTCCAGAATGCACCTCTACAAATGAAATGAAATTAGTAGAATCATTATTCCTCAGACAACCATTTCCTTCAATCAATCAATTACTCAATCAATCAATCAATCAATCAATCAATTAATTAACTTTATAATGCGTACTTGCCTAGCCTACCTGTATGGAAAGATCGCGTCCAGTTTATCTCTAGATTTAAAAAGAATAAATGTCAAAATAGACAAACAATAACCAAAAAAATCGAAAGAGAGATGATAAACAATGAACTAAGTAAGGTAAGAACTAAACGCTTTTACTTCAGTTTTAATTGTCCATGTAGGCCTAAGTATTTCAGTGCTCCATTAAGCCGGGCACTCACTGCGTAACGGTCGTCAGCCGACGCGTTCCTCCTATGAAAAACGCAACGCGACGACGAGCGCGCAACGGATCGCGCATTTAGAATGCTACCGACAATCAGCAGACGGCGTTGCGTCGTCTATCGCTCACATGCAGCGGAGATGGATTCGTCGTGCGACGGTCGTACGACGCAGTGAGTGGCCGGCATTAGTAGTAGGCTAAATCCACGCATAAATAACAACCTTCGGTAAGAGGCTCCATACAGACATGTCCACAACCATTAGAGCAACATTTCATAGAACCTGTGCAGCTATAGTCGCTTTCACACATATCAGAACATATTCCGATGATGTCGTCATCTTGTCTAGATACTGGACAGAGACCATCTTTTGGAACTAATTTTGATAATAAATATATATTAACAATATTATACATTTATACTTCAGACCAAAAATCGATTTTGAAGCTAAGGTGAAAAATATACATGAACAAAAAAATTTAAAGTTTAAGTTTAAATGTGATAATATAAAAATATAAATATATATAAAAGCACATGATTTGATTATACTGTATAGCAATCATCGTCAGAGCAAGTTTAAATTCACTGAATGTACTTGTAAAACAAACAGATTCATGAACAGCCTAATTGCCTTTATGATTGTTTCTCTGGTAGGCATCTTGTACAGGGACATGTTCCTTTTTTTGCTACCAGACTTAGGCCTATTTCCTTTTGAGTGATAAAATATGAAAAATATAAAATTATAAAATTATGAAATTATTCCGTACATGACAGACTCATTTTAAAGTCTGTCTTTGTGGTAGGTTCTATCCAATGTAGTTAAGACTTGGAAACCTTTCATCAACTGATAGTATTTCTGCTCTGTACTTTCTTTATAGTATACCGTATCCATTTTTTTAAAGTCTATTTTTATATTTAATATTTTTAATGTGAATATTTTAAAATAATTTTTTTATATTGATAATGTATTTTAATTCAGTAATGTATATTTATTCTTTTAGTAATGTAATTCAATTCTCAATGTGTAACTGTTGTATTCATCAACTCAATTGTATAGTATTGTATAGTCAATGTTTATTGA